ACCCAAACTTTACTGATATGGTATCCACTTGTATAACTAATCCTGAATTCCAGCCCACATCTTTATAATAAAATAAAACTAAATAAATAAAAATAATTTTCACCATTGTTTCTTGTTACATTTGGGAGCTAGTTCATGATACTTCTCATGCTACCAACTGGAAAGTGGGGAGGTTAAAATTTTCTTCTAAAATTTCTTTCTTTGTTTTTCTAAATTTGTTTAATATAGTTGCTCCCTCAGAATCTATCTTTAGACCTGACATAAGTTGTTTAAGCCTTAGTCATATTCTGTCATTTTTGACTTGGTTAAAACTTCCCTTCCTCATGTGGTTGTTTGTAACATAGCTCACTTGTTCTTCATCTCGTTGACCCAAAAATTCAACCCCCAAAAATCAACCCACCCACAGTTGATGACCATGATATAACCTAATAATCAATACCAGAGTTGTAAGACAATTTCCTCTCTTTATGTATGCTTTCTTAACTCTTGCAGTAAAACTTAAGAAATCATGTCCATGGACTTTAATAAAATTATAGTCCCATAGGCCTTCTCTCTCTCTCACTTCTGGACTGCTGGTTGAGCTCCCTGCCACCTCTGGGCTGTCCTTCTGTATTCTGTAATCACCCCTAACTTCTCTAGGACTTGTGAGTAATAAATTACTTCTATTTCATTCATATTAATCTCACTCTCAAGTTTCATTGTATCTTACTTAACATACATCTTTACCTAATTCTTCCATTCCACCATCAGAAATCTCCAGGGTCTTGGATTATGGCTATTCTAAAGGGATATACTGCAATATCAAGTTAGAAGAAAAAAATGCAGAAAGCACAATACTTCTGAATATTCAATAAAGAGCAATTAGGAAATTAAAATTTAATTGTATACATCAGAGAACTGTTATTTAAGAACAAGTAGGACATGAAGAATGTAGAAAGTAAGAAAAAAAAACCCTTGGTTAAAGTTATATATCTTTTTGCTTTTTTTTTTTTTTTTTTGGTATTACATAATATGCTATAGAATGATGCTAACACAAAATGCCAGGTTGTAAGGGTTGGAAGATAGGCGAATGGGAGATGGCTGTCTAATTGGTAAACTTTCCTTTTAGAGTGATAAGAATGCTCTAAATCTAGATAGTGGTGATAGTGGCAAGACATTACAAATATAGTCAAAGAATTGTACACATTTTACATTTTAACCTTAAATAGTTGAAATACTGAATTTTGTGGTATGTGATTTTTATCTCAGTTATTAAAAAAAAAAATGTGACCAGCCAGATTAGACATAGAGGCCATAATTGATTGATTGTCACCACAAATTTGATTATCCCATATTTGAAGTAGTAAATGCTATTATTTTTCTCATTTACGGTAGAAATTTATCATATTTTGAAAATATATTATGCAGTTATATAAACACTAAAGTTATTGTGGATATGTTTTGATTTGTTTAGTGGTAACAGTTAAATTGTATTTTTACATATATAATGAATTCATCTTTTCAACAACTCTATAAGGTAGATAATGCTATGACCATAATTTTCATTTTATTGGTGAGAAAGCTGAGACATAGAAAAGTTTAGTGGCTTGCCCAATCCCACATCATTCTGTAGTGATTTTTCACTGACATGAATCAAAATCATCTGTATTTAGAGTTCCATTTAGCTCACTCTCTTATCTGGGTTAGAGTCAAAATGTAATGCTAAATATGAATTGTAATTTTATTGCATATGTATAATCTAAAATATGTAGAAATATTTTTCCCATTGCAAATCCTGAATAGCAAATTACCTTCTTCAAGTGGAAGGTCTTAAAAAACAGTAATCATTTGATTATCATTTCTCAGAATCTCTGTGTCGGCTGGGCTCAGTTGTATGTTTCTTCTATAGAGTTTCTAAGATGGCTACTTTCCTATCATGCTTTGGTTTATAATTATCTGAAGATTATTTGCTCACATACCTGGTAAGTGGAATAAAAGAATCCAACTGTGAATGGCTTGGAATTATCAGGATTTCTTAGGAATATCTTTGTGTCTCTCCACCAAATGAACATTTTTATGAAGTCTGAAGTTATGACAGGGTCCTAAATTGAGTTGGGAAGGTGTGGGTAGTAGTGAGATTAAAAAGAAAGTCATTTTTTTAAGAGAGAGAGGTTGAGAGAGAGAGAAGAGAGAGAGAGAGAAAGCATTATCTTTTCCATCAGAGCCTTGGAAATTAAGCTGCCTCACTTCCATTGCACTCTTTTCTGAGGCAGCTACATTCAAAGTGGGGAATATGACATGATAGGAAGTTTGTCGGAGTATTTATAGACATGTCTCAAAATTAACACAAGCATAACCTTTTGAAGTAGGAAACAAAGGTCACCAAGCTACTGTGAAATTCATTAAATATTTAAAATGATAAAAGAAAAAATAATAAAAATTGTATGAATATATATTTCTACAACTATTGTAATATTTAAAATATTGTATTATATTTAAAGATACTTTAAATCTGTAATAGGTATCTTTAAAACAGGATCAAAGTAAATAAATAGTTTGACAGAAACATGGCCAATTCAAAATTTTTAAATGGCACTAATGAATTAATAATATGATATCAAATCTTGAGCTGATATGTTTATTTCACAAATTTTTAAACCATATAATTAATATATGAAAACATTGTGAAAAGTCAGACTCTGAAGTAATTATAGAGTAAAAATTAGAATATTAATTCTTGGAGTTCTGTGTATTCTTCTAGATTGTTTCTTCTGTGCTTTTACACATTTACATATATTTTTATTTTACAACAAATAAGACATTGTTCTGTTGTAACCTGCTTTTTTATGTAACAATGTGACAGAGAAAACATTCAGTAACGTTGCCTACGATTGCTGCTTGATCTCTTAATGGCCATACACATACTTTTGTTGTAGATATGTGTGTTTATTAACTGATAGCCACTTAAGTGTTGGAGGAGTTAACCTGTTTATTTATGTGCTCATGTTCAAGGATTCCTTCATGACAGTTTCCTAAATATAAAATGTCAGAATATACTTTAAACAGAAGGATTTGAGAAGGATATTCCACACTATACTCTCTCAAAAATAGTTTTCTCAGGATTTTATAGGTTACAAATCTTCTCAAGGACAATAATTTATTTACATAATTTTTATTTTCCTGAGCATCAATGACTTTGTCATCTTTTATATGTTATTGTCCATTTTTACCTTGACTTGCCTGTTCATACCTTCCATAAATTTTTTATATTGGACTTTTTGTCTTTTTTACTTGGAGATGTATAGAAATTCTCACTATAAAATAGATACCAACCTTATTTGTGTGTGTGATATAAGATAGGGTTAATGTAAATGAATTCAGGTTTAAATCTATGATAAAACAACACTATGAACCTTGGCACTATATTATTTTTTTAAAAATACATATATCAATAACTAGATGATTTGTATGGAATATTCTCTTATAAGCTCTTTCTATAATTTTCTCGGGATCAATGTTTGTATATATAATTTTAATAATTTTACTAAAATAATATATATTTCAACTTATGTCTTCAGCTGAAGAATATTTGTTGTGAGACTTAACTGGAGGGGGATGGGATTGGCAGCTGAAGGAAACTGCTAGAGGAGGGAGAGACACATCTCATCAACAAGAGTACCTGCATAATGAACATTTGTATACCTAATCCTGAATTATACCCCACATCTTTAAAATAAAAATAAATAAATAAATAATAATAATAATAATAAAAAGACAGCTGAGTTTTTGTCAACCTGGACCACTGGGATTGTACAGTGCTTCCTTGATGTGCAGATTATAGAATTTTCTGTTTGATTTGACTATTTTCCACAAAATTTATGCAATTTTTGTGTTTTTTGCATTGTTACAGATTATAGTTAGTCATGGTGTGCTTAGGTTCAAAATAAAATGATAACTATGCTATTTATAGTCAAATAATTATAGTCAAATAATTTAATGTTTAAAATATAGCTATAATATAGCCAAATTATAACTAAATAATTTAATATTTCTATATTAGGGTTATGACAGGGATAGATCAACAGGCTTCTGTGGAAAGAGAAAAAATTAGAGATGATCATCTAAAATATGGTTATATATAGAATAATAATCATTTCAAACTGTCTTCACAAACATTGAATAGCACAGCATATCTGTGATGTAGTTAAGTGATGCTGTGTCTTGTTTTTTAAAAATGGACACATATATACACATATTCATATATGTATATATATGTATACATTTAAATAAAATGAAATTCTGCTAGGTCTCTTAGTGCCTCTATTTTCATAACTTGAACTGTTACAAAGACTGAAAATTGGAATAAAATCATTCCAGTTAATCTTTTTAAATGGCCTTCAAGAAAGAAAACTGACTTGTGAACCCAAAGACACTGTAGTTCATTTTTACTGTAGGAAGCAGATAGGAGTTGCTATATTTCTAATTCCACATATATTCCACTAGGAAACAATTTAAGCTTTAAGAGGTACAAGTCTTTCTATATTTGAGACTAGATGCATCATAAAAGGCAAGCAGCATTACTAGTCTCACTTTAACAAAAGAAAAAGTGGGACATTTACAAATTTAATTATTGAATAATTTCTTCAGTGACAGTTGAAACAACATTCTGATCAAAATAAAGCCAAACTATTTCTAGTTCTTTCAAAACAATATTGGTACTGTGAATAGATTTCTTAATGTTCTTATGTCCATCTACAATGTATAAAAATAGGTTTATTAACCTTTTGTTTTACTTGTGGATTTGAATGATAAATTTAAACATAAACTTACGGTGTTATCTTATTTTAACTTTTTTCTAGTGTTTAAATCTTTAACATGAAATATTACTAACATTTAAATAGGTGCTAAATCCCTGGAAAACACATTTTGACTGAACGAAGGAAGTTGTGAAAAGATATTTTGTCACAAGAGAAAGGGAATCCAACATTACAACCTCTTCTTGATGAAGTAAATTGGAGGAGTTCTATCTAACAGGCATCCCAGCTTCAGGCCTTTGATATAACTAATCCTTTTTACCCTTCTTCCCTGTTTTAGCAAACATCAGGAAAACAAACAAGCAACACCTTATGATGATGAAGATCACAGTAGCCACACAGGCCAGCAGGAACCCAATCACATCCAAAGAGTGGTACTGGAACCACATGAGGTCATGGGCTGCAACCCGAAGGTGTTTGGCTCCTTTATGGCGCAAGACAAACTCGATCCAGAACACTGCTTGATCCAGGGGCTTCACTGGCTGATCATGTTGAATTTTTGACAATCTCATAGCATTCTCTTTATATCTGAAGGAGAAACATAAGGATATCAACACTGACTGAAAGCTTTTGCACAGCAAAGAAACCATCAAGAGAGCAGGGAGACAAATCACAGAATAGGAAAAAATATTTGCAAATTATGCATCTGGCAAAGGCATAACATCCAGGATCTACAAGGAACTAAATTAAATGAAAGGAAAAAATAACACCATTAAAAAGTGAGCAAGCCGGGCTCGGTGGCTCAGCCTGTAATCCCGCGCCTTTGGGAGGCTGAGGTGAGTGGATTGCCTGAGCCTGCGGGTTCGAGACCCGCCTGGGCAGCGAGACCTCATCTCTACAATAAATAAAAAAATCAGCCGGGCGTGGTAGCGCATGCCTGTAATTCCGGCTACTTGGAAGGCTGAGGCGGAAGGATCGCCGGAGCCCAGCAGGTAGAGGCTGCGGTGGCCGGGAGCGGCCACTGCACTCCCCAGTCTGGGTGACAGAGTGAGACTCCAACTCAAAAAAAAAAAAAAAAAAGTGGGCAAAAGACATGAACAGACACTTCTCAAAAGATGACGTACAAGCAGCTGACAGACATATGAAAAATACTCAGTCTCACTAATTATCAGAAAAAAGGAAATCAAAAATACAATGAGATACTACCTAACTTGGGTAAGGATTGCTGTCATTAATAAGTCAAAAAACAATAGATTCTGGTGAAGGTGAGGAGAAAAGGGATCACTTCTACACTGTTGGTGGGAGTGTAAACTAGTTCAATCTCTATGAAAAGCAGTGTGGCAATTCCTAAAAAAACTAAAAATTCCCCTTTTATGTGATCCTTCAATCCCTATCCTGGAAATATACCCAAAGGTACTCAAATCATTCTACAATAAAGACACCTGCATATGCATGTTTATTGCCACTTTATTCACAGTGGCAAAAACATGGAACCAGCCCTACTGTCCATCAAAAGTAGACTGGATAAAAAAAAGTGGTACATATACACAATGAATTATTACAGTCATAAAAGAGAACAAAATCATGAACTTCTCAGCAATTGAATGGAGTTGGAGACCATCATACTAAATGAACTCTCACAGAAACAAAGAACTGAATACCACAGGTTCTCTCTCATAAGTGGACCCTGAATATTTAGTCACACTAGCACTAAGGGAGGGATCAGCAGATGCTGGGCACTGCTAGATGAGGCAGTTAGTAGGGGAGACACCTGACAATACATGGGGTAATTGGTCCACTACCAGGGGGTAGTAAGGGCCAGTCAGAAGCCTGAACTTCAACTGCATGCAGTCTACTTATGTAGTTAATCCTCACTTCTACCTCATGTCTCTATATTTTTTTTTTTAAAAATCAATATTGAAAGGAATTTAATTTGCCTAAGTATGCTTCAAGTCCATGAAACGTTTTTGAAAAGTGCTACACAAATGATTCAAAGTAAATGTCAAAGAATTGATGCAGAGTTTGTGCATTTTGATTTGTATTATCACAGAAAATTTGGCTTTTAAATTGGGATTTTTATCGTTGCCAAATATTTTTGAAGGTCAAGAGGGGAAGCTAATTTTTTTCTAGTAGAGGAAGTATTACAAGCTATTTTTAGTGCTGTAAGAAAGATAGTAAAAATGCAATTTGACAAAAATCATCTTTAAGTTTTTAAGAATGACGTGTACCATGGTGAGTGAGGTGCCTCTTAACCAATCTTTCTGCTTCTACTTTACTCTTGTGTCTTATACTGTGTGTTTCTCATCTAGAAGCCAAAATAATTGTTTTGAAATAAAAGTCACATTATGAGAGTTTTCTGATTAGGATTTTCATCGGGTTTCTCAGTACATTAACAACAAAATCTAAATCTGCTCTCTGGTTTAGAGGACCTTACAATGGTCAAACGTTGGCAACTTCTCCTGAAGCATTCCCCTGCACACAGAGATATTGGATTTCTATTCTTTAAGCTACCACATGTATTGTGACTTAACGTCTCTCTTCCTCTTTTGGTCCATTTTTTTCTTGCAACAACCTAAGGGTTGCTTCTATCTTTTTTGAAGATTTCCCCTTAAATGTTACCTCTCAGACAGTATTTTCTTGACTACATTAACACTCATAGAATTTTCTTTATTGTTGGGTGCTTATTTTGCTATTGGAATCTTGAAATTTTTAAATACATGTTTTCCAAAGTAAACATTTGAGCATTAAATAAATAAGATAAAGGTATAAATACCAAGTGAACAGTTCAAAATTTTACGATTATCTTGAACATTTTTCTCGTTTTCTGTTTGTTTTTTTGTTTTTTTGAGTTGGAGTCTCACTCTGTCACCCAGACTGGAGTGCAGTAGCCGCTCCCGGCCACCGCAGCCTCGACCTACTGGGCTCCCGCGATCCTTCCACCTCAGCCTTCCAAGTAGCTGGAACTTTAGGTGCACGCTACCATGCCCAGTTCATTTTGATTTATTGTAGAGATGAGGTCTCGCCAATTTGCCCAGGCGGATCTTGAACCCGCGGGCTCAGGCAATTCACTCACCTCAGCCTCCCAAAGGCGTGGGATTACAGGCTGAGCCACCAAGCCCGGCTTGAACATTATTCTGAAGTGAAGAAACCAGTTTGCTTACTGCTCAGATCACGATATAAGGTATCAACCTATTTAGAATAACTCTGCCTTACTACACCATTTTAGTCACTACTTTTGTCCTCAAATTAAGCATTATCCTGACTTCTAATGTTATAGATTAGTTTTACTTGCTTCTGTAACTGAATTATACAATATGTACTCATTTTTTTTGTGTAGCAGTTGTTGGTTAATTTCATTGCTGTGTAGTGTTTCATTGATTGATAATACCACAGATTATCTCTTTATTTTATGATCAATGGACATTTGGGTTGTTAATGATTTTTTGGACATTGTTAATAATTATGTTATACATATTCTTTTAATATAACGTTAGTTTAAATATCTATACCTTAATTTTTTTAGAAACATATTTTTTAATATTCAAAATTGAGAAATTTATTTTATCTTTTTTCAAACAATTTCTAACTTACTTTTACTATGGCTGGACTATATACTGGACTATATATTCTTTATTATATTGAATTTTTTCATGCATGTATATTGAGTTTTTACTTATGGTTCACCATATATCAGTTCAACTATTTCACAGGCTTCAGTAAATTATGTATTTTTTAAATGTGTATTTAGATTTAATTATGTATTGGTATATTCACACTTAAATTTGCCATCTTTTATATTTTCTTTTCTATTTGTCCAACCTTTTTCTTTTTTTTTTTTTTTTGAGTTGGAGTCTCACTTGGTCACCCAGGTTGGAGTGTAGAGTCATGCTCATGGCCACCCTAGTGTTGACATGCTGGCCTCCTCCGGTGATCCTTCTGCCTCAGCCTTCCAAGTAGCTGGAACTACATACAAGTGCGCGCTACCATACCCTGCTAGTTTTTTTTATTTATTGTGGAGACGAGTTCTCCCCGAGTTGCCCGGGCTGGTCTCGAACGCATGGGCTCAGGCAATCCACTCGCCTTGGCCTCCCAAAGTGCTGGGATTACAGGCTGAGCCACCGAACCTGGTCTATTTTTGTTTTTCAATCCATTCCTGTCATTCTTTTTTTTTTTTTTAAGAGTTGGAGTCTCACTCTGTCGCCCAGACTGGAGTGCAGTGGCCACTCCCGGCCACCGCAGCCTCTACCTGCTGGGCTCTGGCGATCCTTCCGCCTCAGCCTTCCAAGTAGCCAGAATTACAGGCAAGCGCTACCATGCCCAGCTGATTTTTTGATTTATTGTAGAGATGAGGTCTCGCTGCCCAGGCGGGTCTTGAACCCGCGGGTTCAGGCAATCCACTCACCTCAGCCTCCCAAAGGCACGGAATTACAGGCTGAGCCACCGAGCCCGGCTTCCTGTCATTCTTAAAAGTATGTTTATCTTTCATTTTCTACTGTTCTCATCTTAATAAAGTATTTTAAAAATATTTCTTTGGTTGGTATTCTCCTTATATAATATATAGGTAGTAGTAATAAATGCAAAATTGATGGTAACTAGACTCGGCATAAAATTTTCCACATTATTTCCTTTGGAATATGGAAAAAATTAATTATTAAATATTTAAAACATTCTTATTCACAGAGAATCACCAAAAAATTTAAAACATAAAAGTCCATTAGGAATGAGAGAAAGTATTTTAAAAGTATACATATGATAAGGGATTGTATTCATAATATATAAAGAATTCTTATAACTCAACAATGAGACAAGTAACCAAGTTTAAAAATATTAAAAGTTTGGAAAGAAATTCTTCCAAGTAAGTTTTATAAATGACTAGCAAGCACATATAAAGATGTACAACATCTTTAACCATAATGAAAATGCAAATCAAGACGAGTGATTACTTCACACCCACTAAGACAGCTATAAAAATGAGAGAGAGAGAGAGAGAGACATGGTAACAAGTGTGGAAGAACTGAAACCCTGCTATACTGTTGACGGTAATGTGGAATGGTACAAGTTCTTTGAAATACAATTTGACTGTTCTTAAAATTAAAGTTTCCTTATTAGCCAGCAATTCCACTTATAGTATCTACTTCCAAAACATGAAAACATATGTTTATGCAAAGACACGTATAGTAATGTTCCTAATAGCCACAATTGGAAACAACCCAAATGCCAATGAGCTGATAAATTGAACAATAAAATATGGTATATTCATACCATAGAATATTTAACAGTAATTAGAAGTGTGACTACACACAACATGAATGAAACTAAAAACAATTTAAATAAAAATATTCTAAGTGAAAGAAGCAATTTACAAGATATCACAAATGGCATGATTTCATTTACATGAAATATCCAGAAAAAATATTCTATAAAGTAAGAATGTAAATTGGTGTTTTCTTAGGGTTAAAGGTTATGGGAAGTGACTTCTATGCCATATGAGGTTTCTTTCATTTTGATAGAAAGTGTTCTCACATTATTCTAGGGTGATGGTCTCATGATTCTGTAAGCATACTAAATATAATTGGATTTTATACTTTAAATAGATGAATTTTATGCTTTGCAAAGTACTTCATTATCAAATTTGCTAAAATAAAAATAAATTTTAGAGCAAGGAAAAAGTTATACTTTCAGAAATTTTAGATATTTAAATATTTATCATATTTCTTCAAGGTCATTGTTTCTACTGTGGATTCTGTCATTTTTAAAAATGTGTCTTTTATATTATCTTTATAATTTTAAAACTATCTCTGTGTAGAAAATTGTTACTCCAATCGGTTACCCATTAAATGTACAGTGTTCAAATGCAACATCGAAAGAACTGATCAAAGGTAAAAACCAATTTCAGGTTAGTTAAATCATTTAATTATTTTCAAAATTAGCCTCTTAAAAAAGGGATGAAACTAATACTGTTGACAAGAGGACCAATCTATAAATACCACCTGGTAAAAAAAATAAGTTATATTCACAAAGGATTATGAATTACTGTCTTCAATGCATTAAGCAAATCTGTACTTGACATTGTGTGGAAGTCCAAGCTAATGGCTGCTCCCTTGACCTTCATGTGAGCAATATTATCAGGTTGATCCGCAAATAGAGGAATGCCCACCATAGGGATCCCATGATAGATGGCCTCATAGATGCCATTGGATCCACCATGAGTTATGAAAGCTTTGGCTTTTGGATGACCTAGGATTGGATAAATTTTAGAAAATTATTGATAGGAATAAAATGACAAATGTGCAATAGAAGTCTATGTAAGGTTCAGTGCTTCATGGATAACAGATTATTATACATCTCAAACATCATTGAAATTGCTTTCAGATTTCAGAGGCAGAAGCACCTATGTATGTTGAAGAAAAAAGCGAAGGGTACATGGAAAAGGGGGTGACCGGAGGCTAGAAAATTGAACATAAGATTAACAGGTAGACAAAATGCAAAGGCACATTTTAGATTTTTTTTAAATGTGCAAAAAAAAAAAAAAAAAGAAGAAGAAGAAAAAAGATGGACATCTTAACAATGTGGATTCTTCCAATCCATGAACATGAAAATATATTTTTCCATTTGTTTGTGCCATCTTTGATTTCTCTGAGCAGTGTTTTGCAGTTTTCATTGTAAAGGTCTTTCACTTCTCTGGTTAGGGAGATGCTAAGGTATTTCTTTTTTTGTTACTATTGTGAATTGAATTGTGCTTTTTATTTGGGTTTCTGTTTGTTTATTATTGGTATATAGGAATGCAACAGACTTTTGCACATTGATTTTATGCCTTGAGACTTTGCCAAAGTCCTTTATCAGTACAAGGAAGTTTTTGACAGATTCTCTTGGGTTTTTGAGGTATAGAATCATGTCATCTGCAAAGAGGAATAAATTAACTTCTTTTCCTATTTGGATACCCCTGATTTCCTTCTCATACTCAAAAAACAACAGATACTAGAAAGGATGAGGGAAAAAGGGACACTTCTGCACTGTTGGGAGTGTAAACTGGTGTAACCTCTGTGAAAAACAGTTTGGGGATTCCTAAAAGATCTAAAAATTGACCTCCCAAATGACCCACAATCTCCTACTGGGAATATACCTGGAGGAACTCAAATCACTCTATGTAAAAGATAAATGTACATGTATGTTTATTGCAGCATTATTTACAATAGCAAAAATATGGAACCAACCATGCTGCCCATTGAAAGAGGACTGTATTAAAAAAAAAAAATAAAAAAACGTGGTATATACATGTTGGAATATTATTCAGCCATAAAGGAGGACAAACTTATGAACTTTGCAGCAACTTGGGTGGACTTAGGGTCTATAAATACTGAGTGACCTATCACAGACACAAAGAATTGAGTACCACATGTTCTCACTCATAAGCAGACCTTGAACAATTATCATATTACTATAAGAAAGGGATTGGCAGTGATTAGAAACTGCCAAAGGAGGGAGGGGGTGGAATTGGCACTAGTGGGAAACTGCCAGGGGAGGGAAAGGCACACCTCATCAACAAGGGTACCTGCATAGTGAACATTTGTATACCTAACCCTGAATTGTACCCCTCATCTTCAAAATAAAATAAAAATAATAATAATAAAGTTTCTCAATTTTTAAAATAGCAGCTCACAATATGGAGAAATGGGTTTGGATCCCAACTCCATCATACTAAAAAGCAAACTTCAAATGGATTGAAGACCTAAATGTGAAAGGCAAAATTATAAACCTAATGGAATAATACTATAAGAAAGGAATTCACAGTAGCCAAAAATTACCGGGTGAAGGGGAGGAGGACATAACATTAATAAGGGTACCTGATTTCAAACCAGGCAAAGTGGGGACCAAAGTTAAGACCAAACTTTACCTGTACAATGACCACTTCTATTCCTAAATCAGAGTTGTGCTCCAAATCTTTAAAATAAAATAATTTTTTAAAAAAGAAGAAAAAGAAAGAGGATGGGCATGTAAAAAAATGATCTGTTAAAGAGATAGTACAGTTACTGAGTCTCATATGTAGGGTGTCCAGGGCAACAGGAAGTGGGTGGTAGTGGTGCAATCAGAAAAGGACAAACCACACTTCATCATGAAATGTGTCACCACTCTATAGCAAACATTGAGGGTTATGATCATAGAAACGGGAGAATCACACTGGTAATAGAAGAACTGTTACTTTTAGCATCATTTGAAATAATATTTCAGGAGGGAAAGGACAGGTGTAAAGTTGTAGAAATCTGAGGTAGAAGGACAATCCAGAAAGTTATTGAAAAATTCACTGTGAGAGGTAATTACAGATGAAATAAAGGCACTTTGATTCTGGCAATAAAAAATGTGAATGTGTATAATAAAATGTCAACTGCCATAGTTTATTTTCTAGCCCCAGGACTGGAAAATAAATATAAAGTAGTTAGGTTTTATTTTTGTTTTTAAATAATACATATAATAAGCTTGTTTCATATTGAACTATCACCACTCTGACTGGTTGTTACTCATGTATTCAGTGTTTGTGTTCCAGAGTCTTACCAAGAAGGTCATTCTGGGGCATCCACTTGTACAGTCGAGTATTGGGTCCTAAAGTATCTGGTTTCTTGCCATCAAATCTCCATAGAACCTGTTAGGGTAAAGAAAGTATCGTGTTCCATGAGAGAAACTATAAAATCATAGCACACTAGAATTCCAAAGAGATTAACAATCATCTAGTTAAATCCCTTCCATATAAAAAGGTAAAAATGAGGACAACGAATGCTAAATAATGAGATGCTAAAAGTTTGAAGTAAATAGAATACCCACATTTTATGTCTTTGCTTTTATAATCAATTCAAACATAGTAGCTTAGACAAATGAGATTATCAATGAAAAACTGAAGTATTTACAAAATTGCTAGGCAATCAGTATAACTCTAGGGCAAAAAAAAGCAATAAATTAATAAAGACCCATATGTTTACCTTGTTTATGTATTTTATACTAGTTTTTAATCTTCCAAATTTAATATTAACCTGTTCACTTATTTGTGAGTGACTTGGAAGTACTTTGCTTATATCTACTTGTCTATAAGTTGTCTATTAGAGTTTGACATCCTTTGGTCTACTAAAAATCAAATCTATGAAATGAGCTACTTGTAAGAAATAAATTAATGATGCAGAAGTAATCCTGTAACTTCTCTTAGATTACGAATTATTAAGTGCTATACAAGTATGCAAGAAAAATTTCAAAGTGGCAATTTTTGACACAAATTCAGAGTACTATCAATATGGAAAATTTTGAATATATTTAGACTATAGATATGAAGAGCATGTTGCTATCATGAATGACAATGTAGTGGTTAAAAAAATTAAAAATTGTATTTTGCTAAATATTGCTTAATTGATCCTTAACACTTAATGCACTGCCAATCATTAACAACAGTGATAAATATGTTCTGGTATTTCTAAGTCATTTTATGCTGAAGTACTGATTTTAAAATTTCAAGGAAATCTTTATAAACTAAGAAATGTATATTTCACAGGGTTTAACTTCTATTTGCTATGAGTGTTAAAAATCTTTATGTTTTTAGCAAAAAAATTAACATACGAGGTCTGACAATTAAGTTTGTGAACTTGTCACTGTGAGCTTAGCTTGGCAGCATTGTACAAACAACTCAGTAAGGTTTCATAACCTTAGTATAGTATATCAGTGTCTCACAGCTGCTTTTATGTCAACATGTGGCACTGTCTTGCTGAATGGCATTTTTTATTGTTGTATGCTTTTTTGTGCTGTCACAAGAATGTCGGAACTTGAATTAGAGCAACAAACAAACATTCAATTTCTTGTCAAACTTGGCAAGAGTGGAAGTGAAATCAGGGACATGTTCAAGTTTATAGGGATAATGCTATGAAGAAAATGGCAGTGTACAAATGGATTAAATGTTTTCTGGGGAGATAGAAAGCATCACTGATGAAGAGAGGTCAGGACAACCAGTAACAAGCAGAACCGACTAAAACAACCAAAAATGTGTCGAATTCTGCATCACAATTGCTGGCTGACTTTGAGAAGCATAGCAGACCAAATAAAAATAGAGAAACTGAAAATCTTGGCATGAGAAAGGTGTGTGCCAAAATGGTCCCCAAGGAACTCTTCCTTCACAACAATGCACTAGCTTACACAGCACTGTCTGTGAGGGTGTCTTTAGTCAATAAACAAATAATTGTATTGGAGCAACAACAATAATAAACGCCACTCAGCACTTCCTACTCAACTGATCTGGCCCCTGATGACTTTTTTCTTTAATCAAAGATAAAGGAGATATTGAAAGGAAGATGTTGATGACATTTAGGACAGCAAAGGTAATGGCTCTGATGGCCATTCCAGAAAGAGTTCCAAAATTGCTTTGATGAATGAACCAGGGACTGGCATCAGTGCATAGCTATTCAAGGGAAGTATTTCAAAGTAACTCTAGTGCTATTCAGCACTGAGGTATGTAGCACCTTTTCTAGGATGAGTTTGTGAACTTAATTGTCAGAACATGTAGGCCGTTAGAAGCAGGCTATGTCAGATAGAAGACTAAAAAGCAACTCACAAATACACAAAGATCACAGATCTATTCTATGTATTAAAAAATAAGTTCTACTATATTTTATGGAGGGTCATCTGAATCTCTTCCTATGCACGGCTTCCTTCTGCTTTGCTACCTCCCATATTTTCTTTTGCTTCTTCATTTGAGAGGCAGGGTTAATTTGTTGGTCAGAGCAGGGTCCTTGTGTGGCCAAATTTATAATGCACAGAGTTCACCTTAAGGGCAGGATCCACCTTTTCCCTTTCTCTTGCATCTTTCTGCTTCAGGCATTGGTAAGTCCAGTTCAGTACAATGGGTGGTTTTTCTCTTTCTCTAAATCATACTGACCAGGTGAATTCTTGGACTAGTGGTTTGTCAACTCACTTTATTTTTATTTTTTCTGAATAGAACCTTGAAGAGCATACAGATAGGGCTATTACAAAATGTAAAGGAAGTACAAGAGGCAAGATTACCTGGCAAGCTTAAACTGCATGATGAGTTTTAGACTCTTTGTAATACCTGCATCTTGTTATTTTGCTAGTGCAATGACTCATTAAAATTTAACTCCTTTCTGATAACATCTGTAGTGTGTACAGTGTCCTCAGGAATCCTATAAAGAAAAGGGTCAAATTATGGGGCAGAGTTTGGTAATTGCTGTGTACCTGCTACTGATACCATGGTAATACCAAAACCTCACCCGCACCTCTTAAATAGATTTCTTTCTGATCATAATGAATGTTAATTCCTTAGTTATTATCAATCAAAAACATACTCTGTACTATTTAAAAATCTTTCATGTATATTTTTGGTTTTGAGGTGATAAAGGAAATAATTAGAGCAATCTTAATAGTTAAACTTTCAGCCAGGAAATTTCTACAGTTGAACTATTTACAGAGTTTAACAGATTCATTCAGTAGATTTCCACCTTCGGACACTTTATCAAACCTTTTGTGGGATCTGGGCAAGGGCTGAAGCAATCACATTGGCCCTTTCTTCTGTCATATCACTGATCATTGACCCCAGAGAAAACACCACAATACCATTTTCTCCAGAGCTCTGGACAAATTCTTCCATTTCCTGTGAAGACATAATTTACTCCATCACATAAAAAGCAAAGCAACTGAACAGCAAACACTTTTGAAAGAATTGCTGCAAATAACTAAGGAGAGAAAATCATGTATTATCAGGAATTATTGGAGTAACAGCTGTTTTGTCATTTGTTTTAACGGACCCAACTACTCAGTTTTTCAGGGGAAGGAGATGTATAATATGAGATGATGGACTCTCCTGCGGGTATTTGTGTAAACAAGTTTGTGTGTGTGCTTGTGTGTGTGTGTGTGTGTGTGTGTGTGTGTGTGTGTATAAGGGAAAAATGAAATAAAGCTATTACATAGTAGTCAGAAAATATGATGCTTGAAGATATTATATGCAGATCCCTTGTTTATAACATTGTGATTACTAATCATAATTAGTATGATTCCTGGAAAGTGGTATCACTTAGCTTTAATTTGATATTGTCCTGGTACTGAATCACTCGTGTTGATCGCAGGTGCGTTTTCTACAGAATTCTTATAGCCTAGAGCTATGAGTGTTATTTCCTTGACTGATGGGAATTATTCTGATTTATGTTCCCCAATCTGTGTCAACTTTTAAATTTAAAATTTTCTTATCCTAATCATGGTGTAATCATTTTATTTTTAGGTGGTTAATTACAAAACAAAGAAAAAAATTCTAAGCTTTGGTCGTGCAGACCATATATTGCCAAGCATTTTTTAATATGACTTTTTTTTTTTTTTTGAGTTGGAGTCTCACTCTGTCACCCAGACTGGAGTGCAGTGGCCGCTCCCGGCCACCGCAGCCTCGACCTGCTGGGCTCCGGCTATCCTTCCTCCTCAGCCTTCCAAGTAACTGGAACTACAGGCACGCACTACCACGCCCGGCTAATTTTTGATTTGTTGTACAGATGAGCTCTTGCCAAGTTGCCCAGGCGGGTCTCAAACCCGCGGGCTCAGGCAATTTAATATGACTTTTAACCTCATGACATAAGATTTAATGTGTCAGTCATTGTATTACTACTCCAGATAATCCATGGGGTGTCCAAGTATTCTATTTTATTTCAGTTACCTGTAGTCACATTTAATGTAACTTATGTTCAATGTTTTATCTCACTGACTTGCTGCCCAGAGACACCGTCATCCACACAGTGGTGAATTATTTCAACCTCTCTCTACAAGATTCATCTCTCATGTGGAATTGGTTGTTTTTTCATTCTGTGATAATTTTATTAAAAAAATACAAAATCAGTCTAAGGAATTTTATAAAAGTATGAAAAGTGTATAAAAGGAAATAAAAAGTCCATAATTTCTGTTCAATGATATTACTAATTTAAAACCTGTGTTTTCATTATGATTTTTATTTTAGTTATATAATTCATTATACATATGTGAAATTTATTTAGAAAATTTCAAGCTTATTGCATACACATTTTCATCCTACAAAAGGTTATAATCTTATTATATTTATCACTTTGTGTCTCATTTTCCAGCTAAATGTATATTATGACTGATAGTGTAATTAAACATTATTTGATAAAGTTATTGTAATGGTATGGTGTGCTTATAGTGTAAGTTTTTAACCATTCCAGAATTTAAGATTAATTACTGCTAATACTTATTTTATGACTATCTTGATTTATTTTTTCTCTGTATGGCTGGATATGAATACATTATGAAGACAATGACTGCATGCATTTTTAAAACACCTGATACATTTTGCCAACTGTCTTATATTTAAAATATATAAATTATTTAAGAATCTAATATTCATTATGGGAGCAAACAATGTGATGCAACAATTATTTTGCATAAAAAAATGATTAAGAGAACAGATTTCACAACTCAACTTGGATTCAAATCTTTCTGCTGATTAATAATATCACAATTGTACTGGTAGCCATCCTTTCCTTGTCTTCGAACTCTCCATCCTCTCTTTCTCCTCCTTCTGGCACTATCATTTTCCCTTAATGGGAATGGAGCAATCTTTTAAGAATAGAGTTAGATTACATACAGTTTTAATCTTGACTCAGCTTTTGTTCTTCAAGAAAGTTACCATGTAAAGCCCATAAAATTTGCATTTAGCATAGATAATCGGACTTTAGCTATTAAGTAAGATTTCAGTGTTATGTTTCTGTTAATAGGAAGGAAGAAAAACATAATCTTTTAAGAGATTATATAACAATGTAACCGATGCTGTCTTTCTACATGTCATAAAAGTGTGATATTACTTTAAAACAAATTAGGTCTTGTGTTACTTCATAGGAAATATTCTATATGTTGACTAAATTTCTTTGTTATTGTCAACTAAGGGCACTTTTCATATATAGGTGATAAAAATTATTTGATCTTTATTATACATGACTTGTTCATTCTCTCTGTGCTTCTCTGTCAGGTAGTTATGATGTCAAGACACAAGTTTCCCAAAGGAGCTTTAATGAGGTATACTATAAGCTGGCTGTAAGGCAAAAAACACCTGCTCTAATAAGGCAAAGCATCCCTTTATGTTCTAAAATGGTAACCTTTGGTATCTCAGTGAAAAATGGCTTAAATGACTGAGTAAAATCAAGTAAACATTTCATTTGACTGCAAATATTGTTAAAGGCACACACGTATATTGTGAGGTACTGTTTTCCTTTTAAGTCGTAGTACTGATGAACATCCTTATCACTAACAATTTTAGAATTTCTAACTTGCTTATCTTACTGCCAGAACTTATACATTTACTTTAAAACAAGTCCATAGTATATCAGTTATATAGGACTTTGCAAGAGAATGTAATCTTGATGTGTTGGTTAAACAGTTTCTATTAAATGAGTAATGATATCTCAAGGGACTGGAACATGTTAGATAGATAATAGCATTAGTAGCAATAATAAAAATAACAATAATTACAACATTAATAATACTTCTGTATTACTGACTATGTGCAGAGACATTTTAAGTATTTTATATCTATTAAATATTTTTTCCACACAGCGCAATATGAAGTCAGTGCTATTATAGTAAAAGTAGGCATGATTGTCTCTATCAAAATTCTAGTACACTTTTCTATCATCTGTCACCTGAACTCATGCAAAACTGCCTAAATGATCTGTTCTTTCCAGTTTGACCCTTCTGCAAACCAAGCTGTTGGACAACTTGGAAACTGTTCTTAAAAAGGAAATCTGATTATATCTCTCTATTTTTTAACTCTTTCCAGTAGCTCCCAAATGCCCTTAATTAATACTTCCAACTCCTAATATTTATCTGACTCCAACTTGCTTCTTCAACATTATCTGCTTCCTACTCAGTCTTTCCCTGCAAAACTAAACTCTGAGTCTTGATAAAATTCTTCACTATTTTACCTGCTTCTCTCTCTCTCTCTCTCTCTCTCTCTGTGTGTGTGTGTGTGTGTGTGTGTGTCCACCTCATTCTTCTTCATTCCTTACATTGTTCCATTCTTATTTTAATTATCAATGACTCAAAAATGTTTTATATTCCCACTGAATGCTTTTTTTGGCACTGTTATTGTTTCTTAAGATAATACTTTTCACACTATTTTTATTATTTGTTTATATCTTTCTTTCAAAGTAGAATGTAAGATATGTGGGGCAGAAATTGTGTCTAATTTGTTTCTTGAAAATGCAACACTTACCTGTGTTTTGTACTAATCACTTTACAAATACACTTTGAATGAATGACCAATGCTTTCTTACTTGTGGCATAATGAAGCCTTTAATTAAATTAGCCCTATTTTCATAGTCCTTTTAGTATCCCTCTTTATTCTGTATTGATAACAAAGTTTGTATACTTGTGATAGTCTAGAAATATATGAGTTTTTATTTGTAATCTGCTTTACCACACCCACTTCCATCTTTTTTTCACTGCAAGTCGAACACTCTGAATGAAGACTTTATGATTATTCCCACTGAAAACTCAAAAAAAACAAACAAAACCAACAGGAATATGTCTACCTTAGGCAGGGGTTTGGCAGGTTTACAGTGGAGTCCCCCAACAAAAAAAAAATTTGGTAAGAGTGGGCGAGGATATTCAAAATTCCAATAGCTTCGAATAAGCCATATTTCAGCTTTTCCCATTATCTCTAATAATGTAGTGGGTCTTCCTGATAGAAAAACAAACAAACAAAAGGAAGTTGGCAAAGGGAATATTTCTGAAAAAAAGTTAAAATCACAAAGCCAAATATGTATAAAGTATCTATGCTTTGATAAAGTAATATACATATGTTTATTCATAGACATCTAATTTTCAGGTATTATATTATTTTGCTCATATGTATTAGTAAGATAGGCAAACTATTCAAACAATTGGGAGAGGAAATTTTGTCTCTTACATCATAACAGTATATTCACAATCATAAACTATTATTAAAATAGGTCATGGAGAATTAAAAATGCATTTACTCTCTAAAGCTGAAATAGTAACATATATCCATTTAAACAACACTTTGAACTTCATGAACAATTAGTTTTACTGTATCCATGAAGACAGTCTCTAAGAAAAACTTAATCTAGTAACCATAATTCATTCAACTAGTCCCTTGATCATTGGTACTTCAAGTAAACAGTGAGTATTTTGAGAGTATGGCTAAAATTCTTGTATTTACTACTGCTTTTGGTTCATGTTAAGATCTTAGTAATATTAGTTTTTTAGTAAATCTATTTGCAAATGACGGTTGGAACATTTTTAGAAATTATTGAACTATAAATTTGTTTTCAACTTTAGTTGACTCCTATATTTCTTAATGCAGAAACAGTTTAAAAATGTTTTTTAAAAACTTGATGTTTACACTTCAACAAGATTTTCAACCTTAAACCAATGATTTCAGAGCTGTTAGTGAAGGAGTGTGGGGATGTCAGAAATCTCAAATTACCTGTATCAGTTTTTGTGTGGGGGATAAAGGCATTCTATTTCTCAACTGTGAAGAAAATGTGGGAAATAATTTAACTTCTAAATAAGAAAACTGAGACATACAAGGAGAAACTTGATGTGTTGGTTAATCATAGGAGAAACAACTTTCTTAATGGTACATAAATAGTTGTCCTAGAAAAATGTATAACTCCTTAATCTGCATGTCTGCGTTCAGCAATATGTTTCTTGATGTGTTTAATTACTTTTTTAAGTTGTCAAAATTTACAGTAAAATTGATGAGTGATTGCTTAAAGAAATCCCTAGTGCTTTAATTTATAGGTTTATGACTTCCTGGAATGAATTGAGTACTAGTCACAGAATTCTGGCACTGTAATTCTGGCACAGAATACTGGCAATGTAAAAAAGCCTTTACATAATATTTATGAGATTTATAGACAATCTCGTTTTCTTATTACATCATTTTACTACCAAAAAAGTAAAATACTCTGCTTTGATACAAATGCACCTTTGAAGGCACAAGAGAGTTACATCTTCATGCTACCAACTGAAAGCATTACTTACCTAGTACTTCGCTGTAAAACTGATCCCTTTCTTTCATATCAAATATTTGGAACCAAAAGTCAAAATAAAGCATATATATCATATTTTTTATTCTCTCCATGAATGTCATTTGATCACTTAATTCCGACAGGACAACAGGTACGTAGGAAGGAGGAAACAGAAGTCCTCCACCATACTTCTCAAATTTGCGGCCAGGAGAGTAGCGGAGACTGTACACAAAGGGTATTTTAAGTAGCTGAGCCAGCAGCTCACCACAGGGAATAATGGCATCAGCAAAAATGGCATCAAACTTGGATTCTTGTAGTTTCCTCATCAGTTTTTCATTCAAAACAACATCTTTACAGACCTTTCTGACTTTGCCAGAAAATTTCCACAACACTTCCTGTACTTTTGAAAAATCCGGCAAAAATGTATTTTTTGGAATGTGTGTCCATACATCGACAATTTTCATGATAGTATCCTTAAAATCATTTTTAGTTAACGATGTAGAATAAACTTCAAATTTGATAGTGGATGATTTATTGGGATCAACAAGAATGGAAGCAGACTATGCCAATACAGTCACCTCGTGATCTCTCCGGACAAGTTCATCCAGGATTGTCTTCATATTCAACCAATGGCTGTATTCTGTTGGCCACACCAGCACCTTCCCACAACTCCCAGAGCTAAAATAACAACTCAACTGTATTAGCAGAAGCACTGAAGTCCATTTCATAGACATCATGGTACAACACAAAGCTCCTTTTCTAAGTACTGTTCCAATCTCCATTTTTCATGTTTATAATCAAGGATAAATCAATCAAGAAGTTAAAACACAACTCTTACACTGCAAAGTAAATACATTATATTAACAGTCTAAGCATGTGGATGGCAGAGAGACAAACAAAAGGTAGATGACCTCCAGTTTGCACAAGTGTGTTCAATGTCCCTTTGTTTATAATTGCTATCATCCAGTTAATATCAATGATCTTGCATGGACAAGTCACTGGTCTTTGGTAATATACTTCAAAATAGTGTCAAGAACAATGGCAGAAAGAGGCTTCTATGTGTGCCATTTCATTGACACGAAAGTAAAGATAAATTACACATCTCATTCAGCATTCCTTGGATATCATGATTCAAAAATTTTGTTTTAAAGTCTGTTGACATATAATCCATATACCAAACAAGTTACCAATTATTATGTAAGTCAATGTTTCATAGCATATTCAAAAACTTCTGCATTCACCACAACTATTAGTTTTACTGTGTTTTTCATCTCCCCCATAGAAACCCTGTATCATATAACCTTTTTCTCTCTGCCCTGAGTTTCTGCATTGTCCCTGCCCTGGCCAGCTACTAATCAAATGTCTATGCCTGTAGATTTTCCTTCTGAACATTTGTATTAAATGGATTCATACAATAGGTTTTTTGTTGGTTTTCTTTTTACTGATTTATTTCACTTAGCAAAATATTTTAAAGGTTTATTTATGTAATAGCATAATAGAAATTGTATTTTTTTGCTGCCAAATAAAAATTCCAATAGTGCAAATATACATACTTATTCATTAATCAGTTGATAGACATTAATTATTTCTCAATTGTTGGTTAGCATAAATGACAATGCTTATTAAAATTTATGTACAGGTTTTGTGTAAACATGTTTTCATTTATCTTATGTATATATGCCTAGATGTAGGATTGCTGGGTGACAGTCCACTCTGTGTCTAACTTTACAAGGCTAAATTGTACATGCAAACTTTTGAAGTCTTATTAGCCTGCTTTTCAACCTGGCAGCCCCATTTTTCATTCCCACCAGTAATGTATGAGAATTTTGATTTCTCCACATAATTCTCAGCACTACATATTATGTCTTTTAATTATAGGCATGCCAGTGAGAGCAAAGAGGGATCTCATTATGGTTTACATTTTCTTGATATCTAATGATGTCAAACATTTTTTATGTGCTTGTTAGCCACTGTATGTTTTTCTCAGAAAAAAATTCTATTCAGATCCTTTGCTCATTTTTTATTTTTCTTGCTATTTCTTGCATGTTTATATGCATATTTAATAAAAGTTCCTCATTAGATATGTGATTTGCAAATATATTATCCAATTCTTGAATTATCTTTTACCTTCTTGATAGAGTCATTTGAAGCCAAAAAGTGTTACATTTGATAAAATTTTTATCAAGTTTACATTTTTAAAAAGTTTACATTTTTAATTTGGTTGCTTATGCTTTCAGTGTCATATTTAAGAAACTATTGACAAATCCAAAGTCACAAAGATTACATCCTTTGTATTATTGTGGAGTCCTCTATTTCTAGCCTTTTCATTTAAGCTTTTAAGTATTGTGAATTAAATTTTGTAAATGGTTTGAGGTAGGTGGTCCAACTTTATTCTTTTGCATGTGGGTAATCAGTTATCCAAATAGCATTTGTTCAATAGATTGTTTTTTCCACTGAATAGCTTTGATAACTTTGTTAAAAAATCATAAATGTGTACATGTATTTCTGGATTCTGAAATATATCTCATAAATATATATGCCACTCTTTTGTTTATTGAAAATCAGTAGTGGACTCAGGGAGTGGAAGGTATACGTTTTTCAACTTTGTTCTTTAAGATTGCTTTGAGCTCTTTCAGATTCCTTGAATATATGAATTTTAGGATTCATTTTCAAATGTATGCAAAAAAGTCAGCTGAGATTTTGATAGGGATTCTATTGAATCTGTATATCAATGTAGGGTGTAGGTAGAGTATGGCCATTACAACAAAACTAAGTGTTTTAATCTTAAACAGAATATGCCTTTCTATCTATTTAAATTCCTTTTTGTATTTCCCTAAGGCAAGTTTATACTTTTTAAAAAGAGCTATTTATAGGAATTATATTTTTGATGGCATTTTAAATGCAATAGTTTTCTTAATTTTATTTTGACTTTGTATTGCAAATATGTAATAATACAATTTTTTGTTTATTGATCTATTGTTCTGAAATGTACTTTATTAATCTAATATTTCTCAAGTAGATTCCTAGCGATTTCCCATAATAAGATTTAACCTGGAGACTTCCAGCAAAATGGCAACAGGCCAGGTTGGTCTGTGAGACCCTCTGCAAAAACAAGTGTCCATAAAAACTCTTGCTCTCCCCCTGTGGCTGCTGCTCCTATCGCTGCCAGCCTGCTCTTCAGCGAGCCATGCAGACCTGCAGGCTGGCAGACAGCAGCTCCACTCACTGCTCTGCCCCTGCTGTTCCCCTCCCCCCCAGGGCAAACCTTCTGCTTCCAGCCCTGTGGAGCTCCTCCCAGAGACCACACTGCTAACACAGCCACCACTGCTGCTGCCACCCCCAATCTTCTCCCCCCCACCCCACTTCCTCCTAGCTCTGGGTGTCCCTCAACTACCGTCCTGTGTAACTCCAGGCTACCCTGCCTGCTGCATTGCCCCACCCAGCCCTCCCCGAGCCACCTGTGCCATGCTGGCCTGCAGCTCCTGGTTGTCTTGCACTCTGCCTTCCCCAGCTCGGACCCCCAGCTGTGGCGGAACCATAGATTAGCTGGATTACTGAGACCAGGCAGAGACCTGCATTGCCCCTCCCAGCTCCATCCAGCTCTGCCCAGCCTCCAACTTCGGACCTAAGGTAATAGCTTCAAAATGGGAGAGACAGAAGACCCTCCCCTGTGCTAGATTGGACACAGGTCTGATCTGAGTGGCAGACTTGACAGGAAGCAAGTTGACTGAGCCCAGATCTGATGCACCCTCCCTCCTCAGCAGGCCTGGAGCATCTGATCTCAGCTGTGAGCAACCCTACAAGCTTTCAATGAGAGCTAGAGATCAGAGCTGAAAGGACATTGGACTTAGAGGAACAATCTTAAAGCATGCTTGGTACCCTTATTTTAATTTTTTAATTTTTATTCTTTGTCTGTTTGTTTTACACATCTTTTTTCTCTCTCTCTTTTTACTGTTATTGATAACATTTTCATACTTGCTTTGTTTCTGTTAGTTTACTGATTTTTTTGCATTAGAATTCATGTTTGTGTAAGGGAATAGCAAATCAATAAGTAGGTTGGTTAACTTGTGTGCCTATATGATTGTAGTTTTAGTTTTGTTTGTTTGTTTGTTTTTTATTCTTTTCTGTCTTTGAGTCTCTTCTCATTTGTTAGACCATACATTTGTCTGTTTTCCCTCTTACTCTTCTCTCTCTCCACCTTCCTCTCCCTCCTTTCCATTCTTTTCCTTTTTATTACCTCATTTTGCTTTCAGGGAGCAAACCTATACCCCCACTGTATGGACACATTGCAAGGCAGTGGGAGGTGGGTTCCAGGGTGTCCATAAGCCTGTTGGTGGATACTGGGATCAGCAGATAGATTTTGAATCACAGCTCCCCCCTCAATTTAAATCAAGCTCCCCCCTCAACTAAACTGTAAAAAGTATAGCCCCAACCTACAGTCCAGTTTCAGAGTTGAACAAAGCTAGAGGACTCATGTAAGGAGGAATAGGAGATTAAGCAAACAGAAGTAAAAGTAATCCCACCACCCCTGAACAACAGAATTAAAGAAGATGGGGGAAAAAGGAAAAAGTGGGGAGGAAGATCTACACAAATGAAGAAAAAAACAAAAGAAGAATACAGGTCTCACACAGATCCCTGGAAGGTCAGACGCTGAGAAAACAGACTTCGGAATGCAAACAACAAAGAGCCCCCAAAATGACTGGTCACATATTACAAACCCAGACATCAAGACATTAATAGATATAATAAAAAGAATTGAGAGACAAGAGGAAAATAGGAAGAAGTTGGTAACTGAGGCAACAGCAGTAAAGAATACTGTGATTGAAATAAATAACAAACTTATAAGCATGGAAAGCAGAATTAGGCAAACAGAAGAAAGAAATTCAGAGCTTGTAGACTAAAATATAGAACTAACCCAAACTGTCAATAACATAGAAAAGAAGTTTAAAAAGACAGAACAAAACCTTCAAGAGATGAGTGATTACTTCAAGAGACTGAATCTAAGAGTAATTGAATTCCTGTGGCAGAAAGAGAGACAGAGACCACCATGGAACAAACATTCCATGAAATTATTCAAGAAAACTTCCTTCATCTCATCAGTGATGCAAAAATTCAACACAAGAGATTCAGAAAACCCCTACAAGACAGCAAATGAGAAGACCAACTCCAAGACACATAATAATTCACCTAAACAAAGTAGGTATAAAAGAAGAAATCCTAAAGGCAGCAAGAGAATAAGGTCAGACTATCTACCAGGAAAGACCAATTAGAATAGCAGCAGATTTATCTGTAGAAACACATCAGGCTAGGAGAGCTTAGAATCCAATCTTCAAAGTTCTCAAAGATAAACAATTTTAACCAAGAATAAGATACCCAGCTAAGCTAAGCTTCATCAGTGTGGGAGAATTAAAATCTTATCCAGATGTCCAATCCTTAAAAACTTACACTGCCTCCAGACCACCTCTACAAGAAACACTTAAGAAAGTAATAAATACAGAAGAAAAGGAAAAAAGAACGACAACATTCTCCACAAGATAACAGGAAAAAGATTGGAAACACATGTGAATCAACCCAAAAACCAAAAGAAAGACAAAAAACAGGAACAACAACAACTCTATAAGAACCTCATGACAGGGATAAGCCCTCATATTTCAATAATTAGCCTGAATGTGGATGGACTAATGTAAAAGACATAGAATGGCAAAATGGATAAAATATCACCAGGCAACAATATATT